GTGGAGCCCGGCGCTCAGCTTGATTATAATAATTTCGTCTGTGTTACGTCAGCGCTAACTTGGCTATTTTATTAAAGCCCTCTTCAAATGTCTGCTTTATTTCACTTGCGCTCTTAAAAGTGTTCTAACATTTCGTAATATTATCAAGTAATAAGTAACCTGTGTTTAGGTCTCAATTCGCATGTTTTTTATATGCAGATAGTAGAAAATCGTAGAACAAGTGTAGTGCTTGTAGGTAGTGCGCAGTTGGTTAGAGCAACAGCACAGAACGCTAGCTGCAAGGATGCCGGTTCAAAACCTGCCCTTGTTGTAATTTTTTAAATCTATAACTTTATCGAAGCATTTCACCCGATTTGAATTTCGAATTCACTCTACTCTTTATCTCGATAGTCGAGTTCAGTCACACCAGATATGACCATCGGAAGCAGTTAAGTAAAATTCTTATGTTCTAGCTTAACTACTTATGATTTGGGACAATTTAGTACCTGTGCATGACGTTTTTATAAGTAAAATTAGACAGGGTTTCATTATTTGTTAAGTTTCTTCGTTCCAGATTTAAGTCTACTGTACTATTTTGATCTATTCTTTCTGTTTTACATAAGACCTTTTTTTTATTGTTTGACTACAAATTCATTATATGTCTAGGATAAGAATTAGTTACATCGATTTTTATTGAACTTTTTGTATGTTATAACTGTTTTTACAGGAAAAAAACAGTCTTAAAATCACCTTTCACACGAAAAGACTTACAAATTTTCACATTTACTATGATAAATATTTAATACAAAATTTTATTATTTTGGCTTTTAGTTATCTATGTTCCGTAAGAAGTTGCTAAGTTCGAGCAATAAAGTAGGATATAACCAGCCTCTATGTAGCCCAATTGAACTGAGCCGGATAATGACTAACGGAGTCGTTAACGATTGTCGCAGGTGGCTCCAAGCTCTTGAAATGCATGAGATCCGTTCTACACGACAGGTAGAACGCGTGAACGACTTAATATATGCGGCCGGTAGAGGCAGAGTGGCCTAACTGCTATTTTTTGACTTGAGTTATTTATATAGTTTAAAAACGTTAATTTACAAGAGCACAGTGACCGATTTTTGAACATAATTCTTACACAAATAATAGTACAAATTCATTTTCGGCTAAGTTAATTACGCGTTTTTTTTTTTCCCCCTTTTTCCGAACCTGGTTTTTTTTTTTGGGGCCCTCCCCCAATCTCATATCTACTTGGCTATTCGTTTTGACCTAACCTATTAATTTCCTGAAGCACATATTTTTAGAGACTAAGCCCTAATGCTTTTATGACTACCGTCAGTAATTTAGTGATGGTAACAAAAAGCCTGAATAAATTAATTAAAAATTTAATATTTAAAACGTGAATTGCAATAGGCTAACTTATTTAAGGTCTGCCGTGATATAGATGTTTAACTAGTATATTTTAATTCCATTAAAACCATTTGTTTTATTATTGTACGGACAAACGCCCGTACAAATTTATTATATTTTTATTATAATATTATTTTATAACATAGCTAGCAAATTCTAAATCTTGTCAGCGACGTGCTAGTTCAATGTTTATATTAAAAGCAAATTTACAAGGTTAGCTTATGGTCTATTTTCCACTTTTCTAGTAAATTATCTTAAAACAATTATAATAGGAAATAAATCAGTTGCACTACAGCACTCATTGGGTTTGGTTACCTTGCCTCCCTCTTAAATTATCTTTTCTTAATATTGATCTTGTTATAAAAGTCTCTGGTCCTCGGGTTACGCTAAACTGTACAACATTTCCCGTACCTAATAATATTGGTAAACGCAAGCCTGCTATTTTAATATCAACGATAACAATAATATCATCGAGCTAATATTACTTACCGCATATTAATGTACAAAGCTAAAGAGATTATCTACCAAACAAACCGATGAAAGTGCTTCCAACTTATGAACGACAAACAAGGATTATCAAGTCAATATTGCTTGTACGTTTCAAATGTAATCCGATTGTGCAGAGCTAAGTATATCTAAGTCCACTCTGTTTTAGATTTATTAATAATTCGTAGTTTTGCGCGAGAAGTACACATTAAAATAATAGTACATTATGATATAAGTGCGGTAAATTAAAAATTATAATCCAAGGCGATATTACCAGCCCGAGGTGGCGAGGGCTATAAGAAAGCAGAGGCTGTAATTTTCAAAGCGCACGTATGTCATACGACGTTTTATAACATATTTACGAGGAAATTAATAAAACTCTAACTTAGTTAAACAAATAAATCCTTAATTACTTGTTAAAGCAGTTATAAAACATTTTACGCAACGCAAAATACATTAGTTAACTTATTTTATTTATTTAAACTACGGCACGTTTCGGATGCTTTGTAGCTTGGCAACGTGTGGTTAAGGGGCAACACGTTTTAAATGTCAGGCCGTTGTTAAAATTGAAAATAAGTTTAATAATATATTTCACGTTTGTAACAGTTAAAAATGTTTTATTTAAACTTTATATATTTTTTGACTGAAATACTAAGCAATAAATATCGTCTCATTACGCATTTATTTCGTATTTTCGCTTCTTAATTAGTATGACTTAAACCTTGTTTCAACATTGTTTTATAAAAATATTATTATTTTAAAACTTGTTGGCCTTATGATATCAAAAAGTATGACTAGTCTCTTGCATTATTTATTCCATGTGCATAGATTTAATAAAAATAAAAATCGATTATAAATGAAAAAAAAAATTACGACTCGGGCATGACTTGAACCGGTAGCCTCAGCGTTCCGTGCTGTTGCTATAACCAATTGAGCTACCGAATCATTGGATGCCTTCTCGAAAATGTTTACATTAAATGAGAATTAAGAATACCAAAATTCCATTTCAACCAGCGTCCACAGATAGAAAAGGCGAGAACTGCAAATCCGTCTTTTTTTCCGAGTTTAGTCTCTAATGTTTAAAGCCAAAATACTTACCAGTAGGCGCATAGAAGCACAGTTTCACCACCTAATAGCGTATAAATGGTCGCCCATGCGAAAATGTAGCGCAATAAAACACAGAACGAGTGTAAAGTAAATAATAAAGGTGGTGTTAGGCCAATATTGGCAATTCTCGAGCCTTTGATTAGCGGAGGGCGGGCAGCTCGTTACCACGTCGCGTCCCCGTGTCAAATTACTACCCCTATTTACGCGTTATCGTAGATCTCACGGGACTTTGCTTTTTTGTTTAACACGTTGAGGGCCAATTAGTTCACCATTAGTCCACGTATCAGCTGAATAAATATGTACATATTATTTTCTATCGGGGACACTTATAGAAGACCCTTGGGTGAATCAGTACCACACCACAGCTGACCATTTCACCCGTTTCTTCTTTTCAGACGATGAGGTTTACTTGACGCTAGGTGTCATAACTGAGCAATCTAAACAAGATACGCTTCAATCAATTTTTGGCTTTGGATTTTAACTTATGAATCAGACTTAAGTATTTTGCTGTATTTTTTTAATTTTGGGGCATTCAATATTTATTTCTTTCTTTTAAATGAAACACGATTAATCTTCACAGCCTTTTTCATCCGTGGATGGAGGGAGGGATTTCGATATTCCTACCACCCATTTAATATCCAGACTTCCAGACGATGTACAATATGTCTCAGAAAAAATTCTGTAGTCGCCTGTAATTTACACGAATATGGACATTAAAAACACTTTTCAGCGTAAATAACTTGAGATATATCTATACAGTACATCTACAAGCAATCAATCTGCAATACAAGCAATCTGCAGCAGCCGTGGTCTCCCCGTGACCACGGCTGCTGCAAAGCATCCGAAACGTCGGGCCGAAGTTAAAAATCATTTTCAAATAAGTTTAACTATTATATCGCGTTTTAAACCGTTGAAGTGTTTTATTTAAACTTGTGATATATCTATACAGTACATCAACAATTACTGTAACAAAACTAAAGTCTTCATTGATTGCAGATGAAGCTTTGACCTCTTTCTTTAAGACGTAAAATCATCCATATGCGAAAAATGTTTATTCTCCAACAATCTCTTTGATAGTGAATAACCATTTTAATATAAAGAAAACATGTAATATCTGAACATGCCCTCGAGCGATGAGATAAATATGATTTATATTTTCTATTTTACAATAACAAAGTCAAAATACAAGCGTAGTTATTCCACGAAAATCTCTCATTTTTTTATCGAGTACTGGAAATGTTTGTGAATGAATGCTGATATTTTTATGTCTTGTTTATTTAATTACAGTTCGTTTTATTGCAAAGAGAGAAATTAAATTGTTTTTATATATCACCCTTTTGATTATCATTTTACATCGCATTTTCATAAATTAATAATATAACGAGTACATCGTTTATATTACATTACAATTTTAATTTGATCACTCAAATCACTTATTCCGTTTGTAGCATCTCGTAGCAAGTGCTTTACGGCGTAGCTCAATAACGATATGAGATATTGCCGTGTTCAAACGACACGTTTAAATAAAACACTTTCAACGGTTTAAAACGCGAAATATTATCAAATATAATTTTATTTATAAAATTAAAAATATAATTTTAAAAATCAAACAAAACAGAGGAGGGGTCGAAAATTTTCTCAATTTAATTTCGATTTTTAAATTATATAGTGCCTTCATGTGCAAAAAATAATATAGAGTTTTCAAAAATTAAAAATAGTTAAACAATTTACGATTGCTTTTAACTACGTTTTCTGAATAACCAGGACGAATAAGGTTTAGCAAATTTGACTTTGACATAAGGAAATCTTACATCTTCAGTCCCTCTTGACTACGATTGGTGCAAAGCACCCGAAACAAGTAACTCACATATTTTTCGTTTTAAACTGTTATAAATGGTTCTTTAAATCAAGATACTACGAGATGCACGAAAAATACATTTGACAATTGAATTAACACGTCGGGACTCGAACCGACGGACGATTCCACCCCAAAATACTTTCTCAATATACATAATATGTTGATGCTCATGTATATGAAATTAAAACCAATGATACATGCGAACACTTTGAAAGTCGCGAAGCACCCTTATCTCGTTGGTGTACAAACGCCGAACCTCGAGTGTGCTCCGTCGAGACAGGCAAGCAAGAGCACAGAAGTGCAGTTAGCAAGTTCAGCTGTTCGGCAGTTTATCTTGAGCACCCTCTGTCTCTCCGCAGCTGCTACGTGACTAGGACGGTCGCCAAAGTGACACCCGCGACTACGTCTTACAAAAATCTCGACTCGAGAAATCAATAAGACGCGACACTCAGTGTTAGCGATTTTAAGTTTTGTTTCATTTAAGAATTTCTTCAGCTACGCTATATACATTTAAACCCCAAGAAGCTAAATTTAAAACCTAGAAATGAAACGAACAATAATTATGATTTGTAGCGTAATAAAACACGACATATATACTATAGTATTTAAATTAGACACGTATTTATTTTATTTACTTAGGAAACTAAACAGTCCTGTCTCTTATGATAACTAATATTCTTATTGTCTAGGGAAAAAAATACAATTTTATAGAAATCTAAATGTATGTAATTTACAAGTTTCACTGAGAACATTTGAGTTAAACTTGCAACGGTTTAAAATGTAAATAAATCACTTAACTTATTTACAATTTATTTCAAGTACGACCTGACGTTTCGGGTGCATTTCCAGCTAATTATTTCGTGTTTTCAGCGCTTAAAATTGTTCAATTTCAACGCAAGTTAAGCTTAATAAGCTGTGATCGCTTATTCTTACGTCATATTGTGTGCAAGTCTCAATTTTAGTAGCGATTATTATTATAACAACTTATTTTTAAAACATTTGTATTTGAGTTGGTGGTTATATATAAATCCACAAAATGTATATTTACACATTTTATATTACAAAACAACACATGAATTTTTATTTCTCACATGTTTTTTTTAAGTGTAATCCTTGAATCCTTCCACTTGTTTATTAGGGCATGTGTCAATTTATTTAACATACCGTGTACCATACACATGTTGCCTATTCCATTATGAGCTACCTTACGTTGTAAAGTTACACTTGACAGATGCGGTAAGTGAGTACATAATGTTATGAGGCATATTATGTCGCACATTAACTAAATTGGTTCGAGCTCTCTCGAAACTAGGTGTGTAAACTTGTAATATTATACATCTTACTTGCCAGTTGCAATTAATACTAAAATACAACAAAGAGGTGCATTTAACAATAGATTGAAAAAAACTCGATGAGGACGAGTAGGACTCGGTAGCCCAATCGGTTAGAGCACCAGCACGGAACTCCCCACCACAAGTTTACAGAATTATTCACTATAGAGTTCTGTGCCCTTCCCGCCGAAACTAACTCTCAGATTATTTCCTAATACATATTATAGTTAGTTTAAACTTATCCTTAATTTATTTAATTATAAGTTCTTGTTGCATTACTCGAAGCATTTTGTTTTAATATTATATATGTACCTACCTACAGTTTTATAAACGTTACTAGTATTTATTTTTTCTTATTTTTAATCCATTTCCAATACAAATTCCAAACATTAAAATGCTCAAACATAATAATTGCTTTCTTTACTTGAAACGTACACCGACCTGAGTATTTTCCTTTTATTTAACCATCGCAGAGCAAAACAAAAGTTAATTGAATTGCAAAACAAAAGTAACACTACTTTGTAATCGCTCGCGAAATAATGAGACACAAATTGATTCGTCAGACAAAGATAATCCCTAATTTGTTTTCAGAAGCATTGTTATATACTTGTTAACGGTTTAAAACGCGAAATATATTACTTAACTTATTTAGATTGTTTTTTAATTATGGCTAGACTATTCGAGTGTTTTGCAGAAGTTGTGGTCACGGGGGGACTGACACTATTTAACGGTTTAAAGCCCGTGTTGTGTATTTCGAGGTTTAAATAGCTTAGAAGAGTTTTATTTAATTGTTTACCACTTGCGTATGCTACAGACAATACTTAATCATTGTTTACTTGCAAAAACAAGAGAGTTGCGCAATTTTCGAGCCCAATTAGTAGATGTGAAAAATATCATAATTGGTTACAAAAACAGAGGCTAAAGTTTCTCAGATCAACACAGTACACTTGACCCGATAGCTTTAATACTTTTGGACCGCTGTTATTATTTTTTGACAGTTTATTTCGAGAGTTGGATCGGTTTGATATTGGAAAATTTTCTGACACTGATGTAATTTTTTTAAATTCATTTTATTGTAATTTTAATATAATTAAGAGAATTCCTTTTAAATGACCATGGCGAAACGTATATCGCCTTTTAAATAATTCAATCTTGACGACGCAGTTCGTGAACCATTGTCAATTGTCTATGCAAAGATTAATCTGTGTGAAGCAGCCGTGCCCTGTTTGATACGACCTTGTCATCGGAATTGGCCTGCCTTTGTTACGGGCGGTAACAAAGTACGGGTCCCCGGGTCGCATATTAAATTACGGGGTACTATCTATCACCTGTCACCCTCCCGAAGGTGTCATCAGCCGGCATCGACACGAAATTCGGCTCTAAAAGGCGCTAGCCCGTAATTGGACTATTCAAACAATTTTACCCTCTCAATTGAAAAGTAATTTTGTTTAGACGATATTGCTCTTCTTAACGCTCTCGCGTGCATTATAAATTTAAATTTCAGCAATGTCGGATTCAAACTCATGAGATGATTCTCAGGAGTGGAAATAATAAAAAAAAATAACTTCGGATTTAATTAATATAATTTGATATTATCTGCAGTTTACTAATAAACAACAGTTTACTAGTAAACACTATCAAAGCAAAGCATCAAAACGTCGGGCCGTAGTTAAAAGTAATTTGTAAAAAAGGTTTAACTAATTTTTCGCGTATTTTAATACGCTTTATCGTTACATTGTTTTATTTATATGAATACAATTTGTCTTATTAGGTATGGTAAGTTAGTAGTGTCTTTAGATACAAAATTGTAGCCCAACTTATGCGACTTACCCACCTATTGCGTATATTCGTACATTATACATCAACTAAAACCAAGAAATTGTTTATTAACCCTAAAAGTGTATACGCTTGTAGAATTTTCCATTAAAATATAATTGCAAGCACACATTAAATAAACAGACATAACATGCACTATCCTCGCTCAAAAGACTGTAATTTCTTTTAAATAACATCAATATCGTTCTAAAATTTTCATATTTCACGCTACGCATACGTTATGAAGCATCTGTTCATACATTTAAACGAAATCAATCAAGTGAAAAATGCATTTTATAACAAACATCGCTGTATTCAATATTTCCTGAAAATGTTTCATGTGCTCGGAATAGCTATTAAGTTTTATAACAGTAGATAGACAAGCTTGGTTCGCTTGATGTAACTAAATACCCCAGTCGTATAACATCTTAATAAGATGAGCTGTCGCTACTTTGGCTTGCGGTTCGTGACCCGGACGGAATTTTCACACTCCTGCCACTATAGTAACACTTACAGTTAAAAAAAATTATAAAAACATATTGGTCCTGATATTTGACCCGAGGTTTTCACACTTATTTTACATTTGAGTACGATTTCTTCAATTTAGCTAAGAATATATTGAAAATAAGAGATTTTATAAATATTGAATGCATGATGGCATTATGCACATTTTAAATCTATTTATATCAAAACAATATTAACAGAGGCGGGACTTGAACCGGCATCCACAGCGTTCTGTGCTGTGGCACGACCGACTCGGTAGCTCAATTGGTTAGAGAAGCAGCACGGAAGGTTGTGGGTGGTTCAGATCCCGCCATATATCGTATCTTTTAATTATATCGTATATTAAAATCTAAATAGATTTTTAATTAATACAAGCTTTTTCCCCAATACGTGATAATGCACTAAATTCTAATTTAGATTCTTGTTAGGATAGTATCAATAGGTATCTATACAATTAATCAGATTTTAATCTAGATTCTATTAACCTCACTAGACAAGATCCCGTGAGCCACGAATAAAAGCACCATTATTATTTATTGTGATAAGACCTTCCATTTCAGGGTTCCCAAAGTATACATTGCTAATTAGAAATCGAACTTTGAACCCCTTCCTTATTATTGTAGATGTGCAACAGTTATTTCTTCATCAATTTTATTTAACAGCCTTGATTTGTGGTAAATTAAAATTTCATTTTTATGACAGTAGAGGACAGACTATTACAAATTGCGTTGAAACCCTTTAAAAGTGTTTTTTTAAATATGTACTAACGTAAACTACAGACAGTCTTAGTATAATCCTTTCTACTTTTTAATATGTATAACTTTTATAACTTTTATACCCTGATACATAACCGAATATCCAACGCCAAAAATGGTCTACAGTGCATCCTATTTAGATACTATAGGCTAGGGTATTTACCTTATCGAGTGAACCACAAGCTTGCCTACACCTAAACGCCAAATATTTAATATTTTTTCATAAAAAAATAAACGAATATTCGTATTTGTAACGTGGCTCTCAAAATATTTAGTTTTATTTAATACAATTGTTTTCCAAAGCCCAACCTTTCAAGACTGGAACGTAAAACTTACAAAGTGAAGACGTGCAGAAGCACTATAATCTAAGTCTACTTTAGTCTTCTCGATACTTTCCCAAGTTTGCGAGAGCGTGTTGTTCGCGATTCGATTCTTCTTGTGTCAAACAATTTTGCATCTCAGGTCGCTGGAGTTCAAGCAATTTAACTTTTTACAATTCAACTTAGTCATTCTCCTGTTTTCGATTATGTTGAGGAACGCTCGTTTACTTGTTACCTATTATATTATAAGACATTATAGATACATCTCCGCCTCTGTAGCCAAATGGTTAAACGTATTGCCTAGCATTGCGTTAAGCGCGAGAGGTCCTGGTTCGAATCCCATGAAAACAAAAAATTGTTTCGAAAAGAACCGATGAGTGAAATGGATACAGAAATGTGTTCGCCCCATGCCCCACGAGGGGGAAACGGGATTTCACAATTAGTGTAATGGTACGGTTAATAAGCAACGGGTCGTGGGTTCGACTTCAACATTATCTAATCATTAACAAATAAGTTTTCTATAACATGTTAGACTGTCTGGAAATCTGGATATTAAATGGGCGGCAGGAATATCTAAATTCAATCCTGGTTACAAACCATCGTTCATATATGAAAAACCCGTCACGTTCGCGTTTCGGTTTTAGT